AACTCACTTGGTAGCCCAGGCTGGCCTCGAACTCACAGAGATCCGCCTGCCTCTGCCTCCCGAGTGCTGGGATTAAAGGCGTGTGCCACCACCGCCCAGCCGATGAAACACATTCTCAACATTAAATACGTTATGAATGCTTACTCCACTCTTCAAGACCCTGGAGGGGATCACTCTCTACACACGAAGAAACTGAGGCGAAGAACGGGTTTGTGAGCCCAGTATCACCCCACTCCTAAGAAGCAAAGGGATTCAGACCTGAGCTGGGGGCAGCGACGCCATCAGAGCCTCTCCCGACTCTAACTCCACGGGGGGGCTGCTCGTTAATTACTTATTTACGGATTTGGTCTTTGGGAGACTCTTCACTTTGTAGCTCAGGTTGGCCCGGAACTCACTTTATAGCCTAAGCTAACCTCAAAGTCAAGGTGTGTGTTGAAGGCGGCAGTCTCCGGCCTCTGCTTCCCAAGCGCTCAGGGGCAGGCGTGTGCCACCCGGGAACTTTCTAAAACCAAGTGTCTCTCTAGTTTTTGCCCCCAGTTCACGTCCAAAGTCCTCAGCCGCCGATCTCTTACCTCGGCAGCTCAGAGAAGCTTCTCTGTGCACGCAAACCCTCCTTCCGGTCCTCAGAAGCAGACTCGCTACCGGCGCTGCTCGTCAGCTTCCGGCGCTGCCTTATGACGCACAGGAGCCCCGCCCCCTCTGCCCTGGCGCTCGGATCGCGGTAAATCGGAGCAGCCCGGTGCGCTGGCGGTGGAGACGGGTGGCCGTGCTTCCTTCCTCCCTAACTCCCGTGGGCTCTGTGTTCATGCCCCCCTCCCCACGGAAGCAAAACGTCTCCACAGCTCAGCAGTCGAAGGTTGGTGCGTCTCTCAGGGCACGCAGAGCAGGAGCCCGGGGGACACGCGCCGTTGCCGGGCCGACACGACCGGGCCACCCTACCAGTCCCTTCACGAGATGAAGACACCTCTGCATTGCGGCTTTCAACTTGTTCAACGCCTGTGCGGCTGGGGTTTTTTGTTTTGTCTTTTGTCTGTTTTGTTCAATTTCCAGTTCCCTCCGGTCACTCCTTTTCCACTCTATTAAGGGTACTCTGTGTTGCCCAGGCTAGCCGTAAACACGCACAGTCCTGTCCCTTCGCCTCTCAGTGCTGAGATAACCCGTGCAGACAACGCCTGCCATCTCCCTCCGTTTTGGAAGCAAAGTCTTTCTTCCGAGCAGCTCCATTTACTCCCACCAGTCGGTGGCGTCAGCTCCTCCCTCCAGTGTTCGTTCACGCAGGAAGAGAGTGACAGTTCCGTAGAAAGCGTGTGTGCTCTCAAAGATCAAACATTTAATTCAGTAAAACCTATCTGTTGAGTTCAGGTCATTTACATTCTTTCAATTCTTTTACACCAGTCACTTATATTAAACAATAGGGTGGAGAAGTGAAGTTATTAAAACAGTTAATTAACTATTAAAAATTAAAGAGACAGGTTCTCTGCCAATGCACATCCTGGCATCTTAGTAGGCTGTACTTCCCATTCTCCATCCACCAAATGGAGAACTTGGAGCTTTGCCTTTTATTTCTAGAAGTTCAAACCTGTGGTATCCACCAGCTTGAGAAATTTCCAGTTCTTCCTAGACTGACATCTTCCTAAATGTCAAAAAATGTTCAGGACTGGTGGCTCAACTCAGTAGTAAAATGCCTGCTTAACCTGCTTAGGCTCACAGCGGTAATTTTTTAAAAAGGAAATCTTTAGGAAAACAGCAGTACTCAGCTTCTTCCTCTACACACAGAAGAACAGCCTGTTTTGACCCTCAGCCATGTTACAAAGTCTCAACAAAAGGGAAGAGGTAATCAAATGTGTACATCAGGCATCTATCAATAAACACTAGGTTAAAACTACCACTGTCAAGGATGTGAGACCTTCACACTTGCAAGTCATCTTGGACTTTAAGATTTTGTTGTTATTTTAAGTGGTGTGTGTGTATTAGTGTCAGATCCGAAGAGTTGTTGGATCCCCTGGACTGGAGTTACAGACGATCAGAAGCTGCCCTCGCAGGTGTTGGGAACTGAATTTGGTCCTCTGCAAGAACTGCTAGTGCCCCTAAGTGCTGAGCGGTCTCTCCAGCTCTTGCATTCTCTCTCTCTCTCTCTCTCTCTCTCTCTCTCTCTCTCTCTCTCTCTCTCTCTCTCTCCTCTCGCTTCCTTTCTTTGTTTTTCGAGACAGGGTTTCTCTGTGTAGCTCTGGCCATCCTGGAACTCTCTGTAGATCAAGCTGGTCTTGAATTCAGAGGTCTGCCTGCCTCTACCTCCCACACCCTGGCATCAAAGGCGAGCACCACCACAACCAGGTGTTTTTTTCTTATACTGTCTTGCTTTGTAGTGTAGGCTAGCCTGGAATTCCTCCTGCCTCTGCCTCCCAGTGCTCAGATAACAAGTATGCACCATTAAGCATAACTTTTTCCTGGATTCTAAATCTGTTCACATACTAATTTTTTTTAAATCACAAAACAGGTATGAAGGTTAGAATGGATCACCACATGTTGATCATAAATGTACCGTGTGAATCTACAGGATGGTGGTGTTATGCCTGGTCACAGTAAAGAGATCTAGTATTTCCATAATGGTTCACATTGGTGCCAGTTCCCAACCAAATACTCTATTAGCAGCAACTGTAACATCACCATGGAACATACCCCACAGATGCTGCCCTGTTTTCAATGACAACATTAAGCTGACTCTTTGAACATTCATCACATGCCAGAAATCACTGCATGGCTCTCTCCTAGTGAAGCTGGTTGTCCTGCCATCCTGAGGTTTTTAACCCTTTATAAAAATGGTTATGATGAAACAAGTTGCCATTTTTCCTGTGAACCTCTGAATTTCTTTTATGCTTAATGATAACAATTTCTGCATAGCTTGAATGTTGAGGTCACTGGGAAAAAATTCATGGTGGTTTTTTTGTTGTTGTTGTTTTTGTTTTGTTTTTCGAGACAGGGTTTCTCTGTGTAGTTTTGCGCCTTTCCTGGAACTCACTTGGTAGCCCAGGCTGGCCTCGAACTCACAGAGATCGGCCTGGCTCTGCCTCCCGAGTGCTGGGATTAAAGGTGTGCGCCACCACCGCCCGGCCCCTTGGTGTTTTATTGAACGAGCCTCAAAAGAAATTAGATCTTGTGGGAACCAAGTAGGTAGAATTCTGTCATGGGAGCCTGATCCAAGAAAAGAGAGCAAAGATGTAGCATGAATCTTAAAGGTACTTATTAATAAAAGCAAACCTAAGGCCAGGTATTGGGGTGAATGCTGAATGATCAGAGAAACAGAACAAGCCACAGCCACCTCATCTTGCCAATTCCTCAGCTGATCCTGTTTCCTCAGACTGGAAGCCTCTGAGTCCTCATATCCAAATGAATCTCAGCTGAACTGCTGCTTGAAAGCCTGAAAGCTTAACTAGCCAAATGCTTAACCAACTAAATGCTTCTAGTTTCTGATCCTCATGCCTTATATACCTTTCTGCTTTCTATCATCACTCTCTGGGATTAAAGGCGTGAATCACCATGCTTGGCTGTATCCTTGAACAGATGAATTTCTGCCTCTGGAATGCTAGGATTAAAGGTGTGAGTGCCACCATTTTCTAGCCTTTGTATCTAGTGGCTGTTCTGTCTCTGACTCCAGATAAGTTTATTAAGGTGCACAATATTTTGGGGAACATGATACCACCACACAGAGAAGCAAAAGACTTGGATAGATAAGGAATATACCAGGGTCAGCAAGATGATTCACCGGTGTCTCAAACCTTGCTATGTAGCCAAGGAGGGCCTTGTACTTCTCATCCTTCTCCACCTCCCATGTTCTGGGGAACACTGGAGCCACCGTGCCTGCTTCTGGGGAACACTGGAGCCATGGTGTCTGGTTCTGGGGATACCGGAGCCACCGTGCCTGCTTCTGGGGGACTCATTTTTCTTCACTTGTAATAAAATGTCTCCTGAAAAATAAGTAAATAAGCATTTTTAAATTTGAAAAATAACAATACAGTGGTTATTTGGATATTTTTAGCCATAAGCAAAAAGTCCTTTGTTTACAATGGGGTGGAGAAATTGAAATAAGTAGATTACATCCTTTATTTTCAAAGGAGAGTATGAATAAAGTCCACAACTACCATGAATTTATGCAGCAGAGTTTCCCATATTTGGGGAAATCGCTGGTGTCATCACATCTAGAATTCAGTGGATAAGCCTCACCCCTGGGAAAACTATCTTCATGATTATAACATATATCATTTGTCTAGTTAGGGTTTCTGTTGCTGTGAAGAGACACCATGACCACAGCAACTCTTATAAAGGAAAGCACTTAATTGGGGTGGCTGACAGTTTCAGGAGTTTAGTCCATTATCATGATGGGACATGGTGGTATGCAGGCAGACATGGTGCTGGAGAAGGAGTTGATAATTCAACAGTGAAGGCAACAGGAAGTTAATTGTGACAATGGGTGTGTCTTGAACATATATGAGACCTCCAAGTCTGACTCCAACAAAGCCACATCTCTTCATAGTGTCATTCCCGATGAGCTTACGGGGCAATTACCTTCAAACTACCACATCACCCTCCTTGTCTGGGGGTGTGCTCGTGCATCCTAAACTGTGGTCCTCCTGCCTCCTTCCCAGATGTTGATCTCACACCAGTGCTGTCTGGGGTATGCTGGGCTAACCCGGGCTTCGTGCACGCTAGGCAAACTTCCACCAACTGAGCGCCATCCTCCACTCTAGGTAACTAAATTTTAGAAGACGATACCTGGGAAGTGCTGCAGAGCCGAGGACTGTCATGCTGAGCAAAGGAGGATGAAATGGCTAGAACAAAGACTGTTTGAGGAGCCGGGAGAGTGCTGTTTATTGTACGTGGAGGAGTGGGGGAGCACCAAGTGTCGTCTGTCATGAGTTCACTGCCCCTTAAACTGTACGGGTACCTCCTCAACATTATATTAGTATCACATTTCCCCCGAAGGCAGTTCCGTTCCCCTCCCACCCCTCATCCCCCGCGCGCGTTGATTCTGCTGAGGAGTGTGTTGGTCCAAGTTGCTCACTGCCCCCATTCGCGGTCTTCCCGAGTGGCACAGCAGCTCTCTGCTGGGCTCCTCGCCACCCTCACTTTTCTCCATTCTGTCCTCCAATCTATGCACCCATTTTTCTAAGATGCTCTGCATTGCCTGCAGCAAACCTGTCTTAACAATCATCCACACCTCTTGAGATGGAATGTCCCCACTTCTCAGGAGCTTTCTCCTGCCCTTTCAGCCACTCTGCCATGGTTCCCAGCTGTAACAGTACATCATCACCATCACCACCACCATCATCATCATCATCATCATCATCATCATCATCATCATCTCTCAATATGTAGATATGGCTGGTCTGGAACTCACTATGTAGATCAGGTTGGCCTCAGATTCATAAGAAATCTGCCTGTGTCTGCCTCTGCCTCCCAAATGCTGGGATTAAAGATGTGCACCACCATGCTGGTTATAAATTGTTTTTTAAGTAATAAACATGCTTTTCATTGATTTTTAGGTTTAAAAAACTACATCTTCACAGTATCAGAAAAAAAGGCATTACATCATTCCAGGTGACGTGCAGCTGGCAATAAAATCTAGTCTTTCATATTCTGCCTCGCTCCTTCAGCTCCGACTTTGCTGGTGGTGTTGCTCATGACACTTTCCTCGGAAGTGTCTTTCAGCTGATGGCAGGGACCCTATCTGGCTTTGCCTTGGAGGTCGGGCGTCCCTGGCTGTTCTCTGTCTGTCTGTCTGTTCTGTAGCCCCGTCACTTGTTTGAAGTGGCTGTGGGTGAATAGCTGAACAGCTCCTCTCCTGCAGGCTGGGTATCCAGGGGCTGACTCCCTCAGATGTTTTCTCACTCAGCCTGAGACATGCCGTCTAGCTCACTCAATTTCCTGAGAGTCCCCAGAGGAAAGCACTCTCTGTAATAAAGTCTGTAGTGAGTGATGGACAGCTTTTCTAATGTGTCTAACAAGTTGCTCTTGCTTGTTAAGTTTGGAATTCCCTGTTATCTGCCTTTTAATTGCTACCCACCCATCAAAATCCACCTGGTGGATGCTTACAAGTCAGCACTGTACTCTCTCCTCAAGTGGAGGTAGTTGGCTCTTTGTGCTACTGCTGTTATGACATTATAGTACCGTCCTGTCCTGTGCCAGCCACTGTTACCAGCAGGGTGGCTGGGGGCTTCTTGCTCTACCCAGATGGAACTGTAAGTGGCGTGACCCCCCGTCAAGTGCTGCCCTTTGCAGCATGTCTAGCTCTCCAGACCTGAGCAGCAGTGGCGCCCTCCAGTGTTCGCTCTTGTGCAAGCCTTGGGTGCCTCACCCTTTGCTCTACGGCTCTTATGAAGCCAACGGTACCAGGACCGTCAATCAGCTCTGCACATGTTACAGCTTCGGCTTAGGACTACAAAGTCTGGACTCCTCAGCCCTTGACAGGTGGCCAGTGACATAACTCTCGGGGTCCAGGTATCAGAGACCCTTGCCCTGAAATCCTGCCGGCTCTCTGGAGCTCTTCGGTCACCAGGGCCTACAGTTTCTATTCTCCGACTCTTTACAGCCCTGGGTCCACCCAGTCTCTCTGCTCTCATCCTCTCTACCTCCCCAGCTGCCCCAGCTGCCCTCCGGAGCTCTTCAGCTGACCCTCTTCCAGCTGCCAAGCCGCCAGCCACCTTGCCACGCTTGGCACTTCTCACCTCATACCACCTCCTTCCTGTCAGCCTGCACTATTCAGGTGCTGATCGCCAAGGCTAACAAATGGAGTTCAGGCCCTGGGACCCACACACTCAAAGGAAAGAGTAAGCCGTCAGGCTTTACTATGACCTTCACATGCATGCCAAAGCAAGTGTGCTCTCACGTGCACACACACACACACACACACACACACACACAATCTAAAACATTTTAAAATAGATGAATAAAAAATAGAAACAGGCAAGAGGACATCTCAAGAGCAGGGGAGGCATCATATCAGGGTGTTTCCTAGGCAACTCACCAAGTAAATCAAATAGCCTGCTCATATAGCCAGGTGTGTACTGCAAATACAGTATTGCCCTTTTATACCAGGTCAAAGGTGTCTCTCTGCTGGATCACTGGGGGAAGTGCTACTTCTCTGGCCAAAATGGGGGATGATTTTAGGGTCATTGAGGGGTCACTGAGGCTTGGGATAGCAATAAGTGTAGCTAAAACTGGAACTGTGAGGCTGCCTCTGCAGAAGCCTGAGCATTAGCAGAGACGGTTGCGTAGATTTCTCAAAGCATTGGTGCAGTGCTCAGAATGGCTGACGTTGGCATAGACGTGGCTCTGTCTGCCTGCCAGTCCTTTTGCTCAGGACAATCAGGGCTGCTAATTTGGGAGTCAAATTGCCCACACCTCAGCATCTCTATTTACGGGAAAATGTACACCAAGAGTCATTACCACAAGCACAGCGATTTTAAACACTTTTAAACGTGTCTGTGTGAGTATATGCCATGCGTGTGCAGGTGCCTACAGAGGTCAGAAAAGGGTGTCAGATCCCCTGGAGCCACAGTTACGGGCAGCTTTAAGTGTGATATGGGTGCTGGGAACCAAACCTGGGTCCTTTGGAAGAGTAGCAAGTGCTCTTCACAGCCGAGCCATCAATTTTGACCTGAGCTTTAATAATGGTTATCACCTGGCCAGAGCCCCAGGGAGGGAGGCTCTCACCTGTTCTTCAAGCCAGCCTCGTTAGCAAGCTGTGCCCTGTTCATCCGTGTAGGAGCAGCTAGCATGCAGTTTGAGCTTGGTATTTGTGAGTTGGAGTTTAGATATACTGCGCCTATTTTTGCAATGCCTAAGGGGCATCCAGGCAGAGAAACCTCCTCAGAGGAGAGGGTAGCTGTCAGCGGCTGAAAGGCGGCAGCCAGGTCCTGAATGAGAACCATGTTAACCTGGGGACGGTGAAGCACCTAGGTGGCATGTCTCACTGGTGTGGGCCTCGGAAGAGAGGTCCCCAAAGCAGAGCGGCTAGAAGCGACTCAGGGTGACAGGTCTGTGCCTGGCCTCCATTCTGCACTCAGGACACAGTGAATGAATCAGGCCTTTACATGTGTTTGGCATGGGAGGTTCTTGGATGTTTCTGATGCCTAAAAAGGAATGTCTGAAAACAATGAGCAGATCTCTCCTATTACTCATAACTTTTGTTTGGGTGGTTTTTCAAGGCAGTGGCTATGTAGCCCAGGCTGGCCTGAAACTTGGTGTGCATACAGAGCTGGTCTCTATGGGAATCTTGCTGTTGACTCTGCCTCCTGACTTCAGAGACTGTGGGCCCTGTGCCTCACAGCTTTTTTTTTTTTCTGTTCACAGCATCTATGCTTGTTCGTTGTAGAAACAAGGCTGAAAATATAAAAGAACTATTTTTAAAAATCATTAGCCAGGTGTGGTGGCACATGCCTATAATCCCAGTGCATGGGGAATGGGCAGAGTGAGGAGGATCACGAGTTCAAGTCCAGCCTGGACTACACCTGACACTGTCTCAAAACAAACATCAAAACAAAACAAAACAAAAAAATGAGGGTGTGTTGTTGTTGTAGTCTTGCTGGGTTTGGTGGGGGCACCCCTGTAATCCTAGCACTTGGGAGATGGAGGCAGGAGGATCACGAGTTCCGGGGCAGCCTTGGCTACCTAGCAAGTTAAGTTTGAGGCTAGCCTGGACTCGCTGAGACCTCTGCCTCTCTCTTACCCCCAAATCAAGTAGTAAGGAAGTCAGTCATGCTGTGGATATCTATGACTTTACCATCCAAAGGCAGTTCGGTTGGCAGGCTGCTTTGACATGAACGCCTGGGGAAACTTTTCCAGTGCCGATCCCCAGCACCGCACGGCTTCTAACAGGCGCAGCCCCCAGGGGGCACCGAGTGGTGCTGGGCGGGGCGGGGCGCTGGGGCAGGGCGGCCGCGGACCGAGGGAGGGCAGGGCGGCGTGCACGGGGCGGGG